AAGGATTTAGGGGCAGAAATAAAAATCAGTAAAAACCTAATGACAACCAAATATGAGATTAATGTGCCGATCAAAGAAAAAAAATATGAAGCAGTCAATAGCATTATCCCAAGAACAGACAATTTAACCGAAAAACAAAGAAAAGACTTGGACCAACTAGTAAAAAAGTATCCGACACTATTTGCTAAAACAGACGAAAGACTTACATACTCCACAAATGTCAAGGCAGAGATCAGAATAAAAACAGACATACCAGTGTTTTCCAAATTTTACCAATACCCTATGCCTCTCAGAGATGAAGTGAACAAACAGGTCAAAGAATTATTGGATGACGGAAAAATTCGTCCATCCCGATCACCAATACAACTCACCAGTGTGGGTTGTTCCAAAAAAAGCAGACGCATCAGGTAAAAAGAAATATGGTCAGGAAACTTAACAAGGTGAAAAAAAAAATTTTCAGAACCTTGCAAGAAGCTAACATGAAATGCCAGTTAGACAAATGCGAGTTCTTCAAACCCAGAGTAGAATTCTTGGGTTTTGTCATATCAGACAAAGGCATCAAGACAAATCCGAATAAAGTGTTGGCCATAGCCAATTATCCCCAGCCTAAAACGCTGAAAGAACTACGAGAATTTCTAGCTAGTTATTACAGAAAATTTGTTAAAGATTTCGCTAAGATGGCTCCCTCTTAGCTCCCTTTTAAGAGGGGAAGATGTACGTGTATCCAAGAGAGAGTCTGCAAAGAAATTAATCGACCTTAATCAAGAAGCGTTAGAGGCATTTAACAAACTAAAGAACGCACTTGTATCTAAAGAAGTAATACTACAACACCCTGACTATAATAAAGAATTTCAGCTAACCAATTACGAAATGGGGGCGGTTTTATCACAGAATGACAAGCCAATCGCTTTCTTGTCCAGATCACTTTCAACCACAGATGAGAATTACGCAACAAACGAAAAAGAAATGCTAGCGATAATATGGGCATTAAAATTCAAAAATTACCTATACGGTAAAGCAAAGGTGAAAATTTTCACTGACCACGAGCCCTTAACGCAATTTCTTAGTAACTGGAATGGAAACAGTAGAGTAAAAAGGTGGAAAAACTATCTCGAAGAATACAATCATGAATTACTTTACAGACCCGGTAAAGAAAATGTTGTAGCCGACGGGTTGTCAAGGATCAATGAAATAAATTCGGTTACTACTCAGCATAGTTCAGAAAGTTCTGGAGAATATCTGATTCCGAGTATTGAGGTACCTATAAATGCGTTTAAAAATCAAATCTTTATAAACATAGGGACTGACAGACTACAATTTCAGCATACCGCATCCCACATTTCACAGACACACCATAAGCCAACCAGAGTACGATAGTGAAACACTTCTTAAAATACTAAAAAATTATCTTAATCCATCAGTTATAAACGGAATCTTTACTGAAGAAAAAATAATGGGAGAAATACAGAAAATCTACCCTCAACACTTTAGAAACGTTAAATCGAGATTTACATCTTTAATTGTCAAAGATCTCGCAACAGAAGCAGAACAGGAGGAAATAATCCTCCAAATTCATAATAGAGCTCATCGAAATACCCTAGAAAACAAGCAGCAACTATCAGACAAATTTTACTTTCCCAAGATGAAACAGAAAATAGCGGCTCTAATAAAATAGTGCAGAGTTTGTAAAGAAGAAAAATATGATAGACATCCCACTAATCCCGAAATATCTAAAACACCTATCCCTGAATATCCAGGACAGATAATACACATAGATATCTATTCGACGGAAAAGAAATTAGTTCTAACTGCCATAGATAAATTTTCCAAACTTGCACAGGGCAAAATAATAAAATCAAAAGCCATCGAAGACATTAAAAAACCATTGCATGATATTTTATTCTATTATGGTGTGCCACAGTACGTTGTAATGGATAACGAAAATTCCCTTAATTCCGCTACAATAACTTTTATACTCAGAGACCAGTTAGGTATTCAAATCTTTAAGGCCCCACCTTACAAAAGTTCCGTAAATGGACAGGTCGAGAGATTTCACTCGACCTTGTCAGAAATTATGCGCTACCTAAAAACTAAACAAGGACATAAATCATTCGAAGAATTAATCGATAGAGCTATCTACGAATACCATTATACCGTTCACTCAGTGACGCGAACAAGACCACTGGACGTATTCTTTGGAAGAAATATTACTACAAACCCCGAACAATTTATAAAAAGTGGACAAGATAATATAGACAAAATCAAACAAAAACAATTCAAGGACCTAGAAACTCACAATAAGACAAGGAAAGAAATAAAAAGCTATTTACCAGGACAAGAAATTTTCGTAAAAAAGAATTCAAGGCTAGGGTCTAAGCTAACTGCTAGATTTCAAAAAGAAACAGTAAAAGAGGATAGGAACACAACAATTCTTACAGAATCGGGAAAAATAGTTCACAAAAGTAATATAAGAAATTCATAATTTTTCAGGTTATTATTATTACTATTGAGCCTGACCACAACAGATGGATTCGTAGAAGTAACCAATTATACTGATGCCCAAACAATTTCTATCTACCAAGGGATAGGAAAAATAAGAACCTCCACCATAAAAATAGTCCATATAATTGATCTTAATTTCATAGAAAATACACTTGACAAATTATCCTATTACATTGAAAATTAATTAAAAACTAACAGTTTGTACCCTACACTACACTATGAAATAACTCAAACATTCACTGCATACCACACATTTACTTCAAATTTTAATACACGTCATACTAGATCTATTAATTGGATCGGTTCGGCCTGGTAGTACGTGGCAGGAAGCCCTGATCACGATGACTTAGTTACAATAGAACAAACACTTAACAATATAATTTCAAATAACAACGAACAACGCCGCAGACAACTCAGCTTAGCTTAGGGATAGCATTGATCTAAGTAATCAGTCACAATCTTATATCTAAATAAAAAACACCGAAATTACTTTGAAGTGTTTAATTTATAAAGTATTAACTTGTATATGCAATCTTGCGTAATCAATAGGAATTATTTTTAATGCTTGATGCTTCTAACCTTTACTGAATATTACAGACAAAAGTTTGTTGCTCAACAACAAACAGTCATGTATGGTTTTTTATGCAAAAAATCACGTCGGAACTGAGCTAATATTCTTTTTTTTTTAGCTATTTTAATGATAAGACAATTTAAATTTAGTGTTTTCGAATGAATATATTTTATTTTAAACGTGAGTTTATATGTTCCCGTAGCTTGTCTGCATACGGGATGAACAAAATTAGTGCATAGCTGTGCCGTATAGCTTAATTGTGTCTCCAAAGTTGGCATGTTTACAATTAATAACTTTAGGAACTACTAGTGACTACGAGACCCGACAGTTATAAAAATATATATATCATTGATGTTAAAGAAAAATATGTATAATATTTTTTTTATTTATTTGTTATTTAAAAACCTAAACTATATAATGAACCTAAAAAAATTTGCACTGCGAAATTCGTATGCATATTCTTATATTGCATTTCGTGGCACTACACGAAGAAAGTAAAATTTGCCATTATAACGAGTTATAATGAGTTATAGACCAATCAAATGGTATCGCAAAAGCAGATATACGCTTTAGAATTTTTGTTGGATTGTTTGTTTATAATAAAACAAACCTCAATGGTTCAAAAAGAGTTGACACATATACTAAATTTAGGGTCTATACTTTGTAGTAAGTTTACAGAAGATTAAGTAACATAATTGATCGGCGGTTCTATGCTCCATCGACGCCTCTTCGTCCTGATCGACAACTTGAGCTGTGGAGCCACAAACGTGATCTAGGGGCCACAATGTGTGTCGCTCTTTAGGACAGAATCACCGTTGCAGGACATTCAGAAAGCCTACGTCTGTTATCACCGCTTTTATCACAGGATACCACATACTGTAGCACCCTCACAGTATGTAACCTTGTAGGTGACAACTTGACACCAAGACATTGATCCCCCAGGTCTCGGCTGGAATACTTGCTCACTTGCTGACGCACTCCTCACTGACTGGCTCTTTACTGACTGCCCTGCCTTGCACACGCCTTAAGAATCTATCCAACTGTCTGGCGTTACGCGTCTAGACTGCGCGAACGCAGCCTGTACTTTGAGCGCATATACTTGGGGACGTATTCTGACTGAGTACTTTCGGGGTGCGCTTGCGCCCTCTAAGGCGATTCCTTTTTTCCCCTTCCTTGCGCACCAATAGGGGGTCCAATAGTCCCCCGGTAGTGAGGCCTTTTTTGCCCAATTACCACATGCATGCCTTATCTTAACTTTTTAGCCAATAACGTTCCTGAGATATCGACCTTCATACAGACAGACAGACGGACGGACAGATGGTCTCGGCTATTGATCCTGATCAAGAATATACATATGTAACTTTATATGGTCGGAAATGCTTCCTTTTACCTGTTACTTTTCAACGACTCTAGTATACCCTTTTAGTCTACAGAAACGGAATAAACTGTGTCTGCTTCCACTTAAAAATGGCACGCTGCTAACGAGCGAAGTACTGGGTCTCGCAGCTGCCAGCAGCTCTTAAATTTATTAATTGTAAGCATGTCAACTTAAGAGGCACAATTAAGATCTACGGCAAATAGCTAGTAAACAGCTTAACAATAATTTAACTCAAAAATCTTACTAAATAAGCCATCAGTTTTCAAACCGTAGAAATTCAGTTGGTGTTATGATAGGCACTTCCGAAATCACATATTTTTATAACTTTATACGCATAGTATTACAAAATGTTAATGTATCTTTCTGATATATTAAAACAACTTTATGGGAAGTATGAATAGTAGTATTTACTGTATGTAATGTGTTGGTGTAAATAACAAGCCCACTGGGAAAAAAGTCATAATCTTTGCTTTAAAGGGTGGCATCCGTGTAAAGCTTATTGAATTGAATTTATAAATAAAAGAATTTTACCAACATTGTTTATTTCAGCAACACATTTCTGAATATCATACGTTCAAGCTAGGAGATCTATCGCCTCATGTGTTTGCTATAGCAGAAGCAGCTTATACCAGCATTGTCGATGATAACATAAATCAGGTAAATTGCATAACTGTTGGATTCATTTGTATACCCCCTATATAAATTTTTCAACGTACTTGATATTTATGATCATATGAAGTGCGTCCGTTCCTTTGTGCACACACTTGTAGCTTTATAACTATCTTGTTTCTTCGGTATGCACCAGTTTTCGAAAATATATAATTTCGGTTTTAATTTGATAAACATCGAACGTCAATATTTCATAGGTGTCATATGAACAGAAAAATGACTAGCTTATTAATGGAAACTATCCTAGCTTCGTTGCGTTCTAACTCGGTATAAACCAGTTTGTTTGACAATATATACTTTCGATTGTAATTAATTATATCGTGTTAGTGCTAAACAGTCGGTAAATTAAACGAAATTGATATTGCCATTAAAAAGAAAACAACAACAATCCATTAACCATAAGAAACCTTGTCTCAAACCACTTCACAAAAATTAAACTTATATGGATCCTCAGCCACATTGCCATATTAGTCAACGAATACGCCGACAAAACAGCTAAAGATGCCCACAGATGCCCCCTCAACTGTGGCGACATTTCTCGCCACATCAAAAAATACGTCAACTCTAAACGAACAGAACTGCATAACAATATTACTCCCTGGTACAAGCTCATCCTTCAAGCTACCACACCAAACTCCTCCTATAACACCTCATCACACAACAGGAAAACACAAATCTTTATGAACAGGGTCAGGCTTGGACACACCAACCTCACCAATGCCCACTACATGAACAGATGTCGTTAGACCATCGTTAAAGACCATCGTTAAAGCCCATTACAAGTCTTCCATAAGGAGTACATATCTGGCACCAGCGGCAAAAAGGGTCATCAACATAAGTCAGCACACTTCCGCACTCCTGTCCATAGGCAATTTAAACTAAGAAACTGGGGTTCAAATGTACCGGCCGTTATGTAGGGAGTTTCGGAAAATGATTAGGATAGGTCTCTGCTAGGTCCATGCTAGGTCTCGCATGGAATCCGGGTTTGGTATGCTGTTGTTGTCATTTTAAACCCTTCAATTAGCCGCAGTCTTATCCGCAATTGCCCGATTTTTTGATCCTATTGGTTTGGTTGGCCCGGTTATCTATCACAAAGTATAACAGCTGCGGAAGAAGATGTCTCGAGACAAAAGCATTCCTTTGGCACGAGATTCAAAATGACGAGATTGTTGCAGAACTGTTCGACAAATTCGTCATGCCTCGGACAATCGCATTACTTTGTTTAAAGTGTAGAGTAGCTCCCCTGAAAAACCTAACAGAGCCAAAGCTCTTGCTCGAGTTATCGCAATATCTATAAGCTGAAAGTATTCAAAGAAAATGTCGCTGGTGCGACTCTATTGTAGCCCTCAAGATTAAACGTATTTGTAGCAAACTTGTAGTAGCTGCAATTCAATGGAATTCCAAATGCTTTAAGACCGGAAAATATTCGTTCTCAAGGGGCTCTACCCACCGTTTGGTTTGAGGCAGGGGCTTGTCAGTAAATATTGCGATGCGATCGCGAACGTCTGAACATTTGCCCGACTTTACTGCTGTTATTGCCTCCAATATTACCGAATGTCAGCCCAGTTTTGACATTGACGATCGAGATCGAGATTTTCATTGCCCTCAGCACATCGATTTTTTTTATTGGCGCCGGTCTCTTCTACGAACTGCTGTGCGTCTGTCAAGTTAAGCGTGGTTGTACCCCTAATAAGAAAAGTCATGGACCATCATCTCTTTATAGCCTCATGTGTAATTAACACAATAAAATTAACTGAGAAGTTAATACCATAAAATCTTCGTACACTAAGGCAATAGTACGGCTAGCTTGAGCCGCATTCACCCTTCATTGACAAACTTGGACTTATTCGATTAGATGGTCGGCTGGAGTACTCTCCGTTGAATTTCAATCACCGCAATCAAACCGAAGGATCACACAGTTGCCATGGCCATTACCCTCGTCTCAGCATATTTGGATCCAAATTTTTACCTATTTGGGGGAGAAAAACTGTGAAAAAGATAGTAAGCAAGTGCTTCAGGGGTTTACGAACAAAACATCGCTTAGTTGAGCAGATATTGGCTGATCTACCAAAGGAGCGTGTCAATGGAACTGATGCGTTTAAAGTCCCTGGAAACGACTTCTATGGAGCTATCAAAGGTCTCTGTTAGTTCCCTTCTTGTACAGCCTAATTATGGTCCGAAAAAACTTTGTTGGCGCGAAGAACGAGTTGCTACAAGTTAGGCAACTATTCCTCAGCGTCGACAACACTAAAGCAGTTTTGGATTTTTGCGTCACCAATGCTCACTACATGAACAGATCCCTTCCCAACATATGTCCCCTTTGGACATATAACACCAACTCTTTTTGCTAAACTCCAACCTAATTCATAAAATATAAAACTATTTTATTTTCTCACTCTGTATAAACTAAGGCCCTAACTGCTAATGCTCCTAGTTCTTAGTTACCTTATAGTTTTATACTTTAAGTTAGCTTTAAATAAATAAATAAATTTCACGACAATCGAGACGAGATTCGCAAAGCTGCAAAACAACAGATCCGTGTTTTGTAAAACGAGAACAAAAATACATTCAACCTCAGACGCAAACCAGCAGCATCGTACAAAGTCGGAAATATTTTCGCTATAGCTGGATTTATGACTAATGCTAAAGGCCAAGAATTTGGTTCCATATCAAGTTAACAGGTTTAAGGAAGCGTTTTGACCCTACAAAGTATTTACTCTTCGATATACTCTTGATCACGATCATAAGCCGACTTGACCTATATATGTCCGTTTGTCTGACAAAATTTCGTTGAGTGGTAGAGTAATGGGTCGTAAATGTCGGAGGAGAGTCAAGATATCGTATTTTTAATATTATACCTGTTAACGTATTGAAGTTGAAGTATAAAGCTGCGTGGAAACTCGTTTGTATATTCGTTCTAGCGCGTCTCAACTAGTGTAGGCTGGCTAAATATGGGTGCATACAGATGCGCCTAGTCAAAAATTGGAATTAAAAAGGGTTGGAGCGCATAATAGAAACAATAAGCAGCAAAAAAACCGAAGTTTTTAAGTGATTTTTTTTTGTGTTGCGCCTGTTGCACAGAGTTAGGACGACATACTCCAGCGAAATGTGTACCTCCGTGGCTTGATTAACCATCTGCAGGCCGAAAATTCTTGTTGCACTGGCAGATTTGCAGTATTATTTAAAATCATTTGATAAGCTGTGAAAAATATAATAGAATGAATAGTTGAATTAAAAATCAAATGTTACCTCCGATTACTTTTAATAAGATATTCATTTTAAAAATTTTGACCTATTATACCATAACCGTTTTGATTTTTCGAGGCAATTTATGCAGTTGAAATATTTTGTGTGTATCGTCACATAATTTTTGAAGGAACCGAGCACCAGAGGTCCTTGGAGGGAACGCATATTTCGCCATTAAATATGGCTCCGTACGTTTTTGATGAAATTCATTTCTGGATATTACGTTGGCATCATTATATATTGGAATCTTGTATTGAAAATTAAATTTACCTAATTAATTAATTTACCTAATGAGACGACGGCTTCGGAAGAATTAGTTTAATATCCATATCTTTAATGAATTCTTTTATACTCTTTTGCAGAATGGTTAGATATTGTGTCTATTGCATAATCCCATCATTAAATGCAATGTTTTACACATAAACTCTCAGACCAATTTTGATCGGTAACAGAATTGACGGAGCTCTAGTCCAATACTATGATCGTCAATCTGACTTGAAACGATTGATCATAATTTCATCTGAACACATTATTTGAGCTGCCACAATTCATTCACCATGCCAAATTGCACATAGGAACTTAAGAAATCAAAATTAATTTGGTCGAATTATTATGTTTGAAATAAACATTTCTTTAACAAAACTGGTGCAAAACTGTAACATTTGACTTTTTTCTACCCGTTACTACTAGACTAAAAGGGTATACTATATTCGTTGAAAAGTATATAACAGGTATAAGTAAGCGGTTCCGAACCTATGAAGTATATATATTCTTGATCAGGTTCAATAGCCGAGCTCGAATGTTGAGATTAATCATGCATATTCCAGAGACATAGGCGCAGCTCAAACGCCGACTCAAACGCCCATAAAAGGCAGCAACCGGACACTCCCACTATTTTGGAAAATAATTTGCTTATTTAAAATTGTATTATTTGTCTTGCCAATTGGTATCGGTATTAATTGCCACTCCAGTTCTAACGTACACAACAAATTTTTTTCTTTTTTTTTGCCAATTCCATTTGATATGGCAAAGAAATGTTTAACTTTCTCGTTCGCACTCCCACTAGCTGAGTAACGGGTATTTGATAGTCGGGGAACTTGACTATAGCGTTCTATCTTGTTTTAGTTTTCAATTTGATTTATGGATGTTTACATCGAAAGCAACGCACACAAGATCGAACTGTTAGTCGACTAACTTCTTAAGCATTAAACAACTATATTTTTCGCTGAAAAGACTTACCAGAGCTCGAATGCCATTTTGATAATTTACTAAGCTTTTTAGTGTTTTTTTTTTTTAGGTTCCGGCTTTTGAAGATTCGTTAATATGGGATTGTATTAATGGCTCTAGAGCTGGCTCCATGCTCTCTCGAATTTTCATTCAAAAGCCAGAGAAAAAGCGCTCTAGAGCCATCAGCTCTTTTGTACGTATACAGCTATAATCGACCAAAATATGACCTTCACTTTACAAGTTTTTTATTATTATTATAATTATAATTATTATAAGTTTTATATATTATTTTTGATCGATTGCCAACATGTAAAAAACTATACTATTTTTCGAATACATCATAGCAATAGTAATAGCCGAAGATATGTATATAATAATACGTAATAAATTTCATAAATTTCTTTCTTCTAGAATAATTGTCGTTAGAGTATTCAGCTTAGGGTGTGTAAAGCATATTTGAAGTCAATGTTTCTAAGGTGCTTATGTCCGCACTTCGTGTCTCAAAAAAATGAATA